TACTAGTTAAAGGTAAACGTCCGGCAGCCCTCTGCCTGGTTAGTAGTAGACATGAAGCGAAAAATAGGGACTCTAACCAAAAATCTAATGAACATTTACCCACAAACATTTAAAAACATTTAATAAACAAATTTAATAAACAGTGCCTCTTCCGATCGCGTATGTGTCCCCTACATTAGCCGCACCAGCGAGAGCCTTTCCCGCGTCCTCGGTCGCTACGGGATTGCGGTGACTCATAAGCCCGTGTCAACAATCGGTCATCGTTTCCCCCTCCCGAAGTATCGGCCTCCCAAAGAAAGGGCACGGCTTGGTCTACCGCATACCATGCAAGGATTGCCCGGCCTCATACGTTGGCGACAGTAAGAACTTCGCAGAGAGGCTTATGCGAAACAAATATGATGTCCGGAAGAAAGACGTGGAGGCGATCGCCCTCGCAGAGCACGCAGAAGAAGCCGTCCACACTGTCGCCTTCGAGGGAGGCGCCGTGCTGGCCTTGGAAAGGAATTCGCGAAAGCGGCTCTTCGTTGAGTCCTGGTTTATCCAGCACACAAAGGGGAACGTGAATCGTTCTTCGGGCTCCCTGCCCAGCAGCTACGTCTCGGGACTGCGTGACGTGAGTAAAGCCCCCTACATCCGTATGTGCACTTAGGCGACACGTGTTCTTTTCTTTTCGTCACTCACCCGTGAACAAGGGACCGAACTGGCCCCGAAACGTCGGGTAAATGTTTATTAAATTTTTGGTTAGCGTCCCTATTTTTCGCTTCACAGTTACTACTCGGCTGTGTTTCAATTTCACTGGGCTGCCTCCCACCGCTTTTCGCGAACTTTGCTCATGTGGCACTGTGACATCTCTTGAAGTTGCATCACGTGACTTACTAATTTGATCTTAGCTAGTTGATTTGTCGTCACTGAGGGTGAGGAAAACAGCTTGAGCACTAAACGATTACACCGGACAAGTCACAAACAAAGCTGACTATCAAATATTCCTTAGTAATTCATCTTCTTTCACAAGAAAGAAATGAACATATACAATGTGCAAAGGCCCAATGACTCGTAGTGGAACCGAATGGTGATTTGTTTTCTTGGCTTACCTTCTTATTTTATTTTAATAATTTTCTCCAATCTGGCTTCTTTTCTTTTTTATGTACTCATTTTTGTTGTATCAACGTGCGTGTAAAATGTATCCAATTATTGAAATTCCAGAAACATGCAGTGGTCGAGTGAATGTGAAAGGTGGTTAGACCGAGGGATCAGGAGTGTGAAACACTAAAGAATAGTTGATAGTCAGCTTTGTTTCTGTGTGTCTTGTCCTATCTATGTGTAACCGTTTAGTGTTCAATTTTTTCCCCGCTTTCGGTGTCATCACGTGACACTGAATTCCCGCTAAATTTAGTGGGAATCCAGGGTCATTGAGGTACAGCGAGTCCTCAGGGGCAGCTGACCTTATCGACCTTTTGAGAGATATGAAGAGTCCATCTTTAAACGCACAAGGAAAAATATTGGAAGCATCTCCGTCTGAGGGAATGACGACACTTCAAAGAGGGCATATATATATATATACATATGTGGCGTGGAGGAAATAATATTGTAACGCCAACTTAAGAAACATACAAGCGTGGCGAGTCCATCCCCCTCTTCCCGCACACACACACACCTCATTATCGTTTCTCAGCCAAGAAAATTGCACCATTTTCTGCTAAGAACACTGAAGGACCAATCACGAAGCAAGAAGCATGAATTAATATAATAAGCCACGCCTTTGGTTTCTTCAGCTACCAGCGACAATGTGGAGTGCAAGTTCGTCTGCTTCATGCGCGAGGGTTGCGGTGACGTCAGAACGTCGAGCTCTCATTGGCTCTGATTGGAAGGATAGTGGGTACACCTCAACGCCAGCTGGCTTGAGATCTACCCACTATCCTTCCATCAGAGGCAATCAGAGCTCGGCGTGCTAAGCCGGTTTAGAGAGCGAAGATCTGGTAGCACAAAGCATCAAACAGCCATTTTTCGGAAAACCTGGACGTCAGCGCACAGCCTTTGCAGCGGCGAAGACCCGACACACACTTTTGGGTCCTCGTGTTTCGCTGCAGCGTCTTGAGGGAGCGGCGAGATGCTGCGTTTCGGCGTCTCGCCGCAGCGGAGCACCAGTCACGTGGCTCTCCTCTCATTCGTTGTCTGCCGCACCACCTTTTCCGTTTCGGCTGCCGCGTCTCGTGGCGATCTGCTGGGCTCGGTCAGTATATAGGAGGCTATGGTCTGCTATTCCGCCCCAGTCTAGAAACTTCTGCAACGCTTGCAAGACGCAACCATGAAAGAGGCGTTCTATCGTTTCATCATGCACGAGTCACGGTCTCATAAAAGCGTTTGCCAACGTTTGCCGAAGTGCGGTAGAAGCGACCGAGTAGACTAAAAAAAAATCGACAGTATAAATACGTAGTCCTTCCAGCTTTTTTGTTCCTGCTATTTTGAACATGGCATCCGGGAACAAGATGGGTCAGCGTCATGGCGGACAGCTAAAGCAGGACCTAAAAAATATTCGCATTGGCAGGCCAGATCCACTGAAGAACGTAGAGTTACTTTCCTTTCGAAGCAGAATGGCGGGAACAAATTTGAGCGAACTTAATGTGAACCGAATGCCCGATTGCTTTCAGCCAAATGGCTCGTAAATTCTTTCCTGTATAAGAATATTTTCGGTATTGAAACCATGGTTGCAATCACAGCGGTCATTCACAGAGCAGCATGCCCCTTTTTATGGGAACCAATGTCGTTATTCAGCACCAACGCGCGCGAAGGAACAAATCAAGCCAGATCAAACAACAGAGCTAAATTGTCACGCTAGGCTTAGGGCAGGCCCGCTACCGCCCGCTACGAACCCAAGCGCCGGCACAGCGCCAACAGAACTTCCAAAGGCGTGCGTACTTTGCGACAGTCGTTTGCTGCAAACTACATCGATAGAGGAGATCTTCCTCTAAACACCTTGGTAAATGCAGAACAAATGACACTCACTAAAATAGACGTACGTGCTCGACAAGCTGATCTTCTTGATCACTCCGCACACGCCGGCAGCCATGTTTGTTGTCATTTGAAACCGTAGCAGATATGCAATCTCGGGTTATTCTTGAAGACAATAGTGACTCTATCTAGATTATTTGTTTCTCAAACATAAAACTTCGTAAGCACCGGGCAGGTCTACCCTCCTTAAATTTCGTGTAACAAAGTCAATATCTCTGAAACATTTTTTTTTGTTTAAAATTAGCAAATAGAATGATAAAACTAAGCAAAAAACTTTTATTTTTCACTTCAGCGTCCCTTCAAGCATCCTTCTCTTTATTAAAATGTATGTCCTTTACGTGCATTACACATTGAGAAAATTATAAAGTGTGTGAGTTTTGTTGCTTGAATCTATTTTTTTCTATTCATCAACTGCTTGCACGCTTTTTCAGCCCAGCCTCGGGGTTTCCCGTAATGTTCAACATGTATCACCTCACCGCCTCCACTTTAAAACTGTGCGATGTAAAACCAAGTTTACTTTTTTTCGACACATGGTGTGCAAGGTAGAAAGTCTTATCTTTTCGTTTTCGAATAAGACCAAAATCAAGCAATATGGTTATTATGACGCAGGCGAAAGTCAGGCCGTGCAAAAGCTTCATTGCTGCCCTTTACTGAAGAAAGAACGTAAGTTCAATGGTCGTGTTTGCACACAGAACGGCGCACTGCCATCCTCTCCCGTCTCGCTCGTCACAGACAACAAACACCACGGCGTTAATGACACACCGGATCATCAGATATTGATTTGAGGGTAGGTTTGCTCAGAAGGCAAGAATGTATTTAAGCGGAGCACCTGACACACTCCGTTGGGCACCCAAGAAATAAATTACCCTGGGCTTTGTTTATACGAAATTGTTGATCACCATCAATGCCTTAGAGCCGTGTTAGATTAACTATCGCGGACAATATGAGAGCCGTTTGTGCTTTTTTGACGTATCTGTTGACCTCTGCAAGAGCTTTCGCCCAAACTACAGATGAAGCCCAGAGTTTAAGTCCCATTATAAAAACTTTTCAGCAAATTGAGAGATAAAAACAACGCCTATGGATACCGTGAAAAATGCTTATGGGTATTCGGGGATACATTATCATCAGTTGCCGCGTCCTCGCCAGACCACTAGCTTTTCTAGATCTGGTTCTGAGCATGTTCAACTTGGAGCAGCTTCTCCGTGTCAGACAGTAGTTCAACATCTGATTTAAGGGAGAAGTGTAGAGATTTTAAAAATTTTAGAAGAACAGTGAAGTGGTTCTCAGGTTACCCGTTTTTATTTACCATAATTCTCGTGAAGTTAAAATTTCAAGGGACACTCACAGAGTATTTATGCTCGCCAATTTTTTTATTTGTAGATGACATTTGAGAGTCCAAATCCCCAGAACACAATTTGAGGCTCGAAATTCGTTTTCTTTCCGCACGAGAACCGCCGCTTGGGAACTGGCCGGTTTGAAACGCGTTCACTCTCTTAACCGTTCTCACCTGCCGTTTTCTATGGTTTAGACACAACTACCAAAGATAATCAGTCGTGGGTCACCGAAGACATACACTCAATTCTATAAATGGACAAACAAATATGATACCCGTTTTTCGTGGCTTCTAAAACCCACAAAAGATGCGGAAATACGTAGATTAAAGAACAAAAAAAGAAGAAAAGTTGGACAGTTGCATGATTTTCGGTGCCATACCCCTCCTCTGTGTTTCTTCTTCATCCCTAATCTAAGGTTCGGTTTCGGTTTCGAGGAGTTGCATTTTATAACTTTATTATAACTATACGTGGACACTGCATGTAGCGAGATATCGATTTGGTAGTCTACTGACACTGAAATAAATCGCCTTGCAAGAAATAAAAAAAATTGGAGAGTATCATTGTCTGTTTAAGAAAGAGGAGCGAGTTGCTTGTAAAAATTGTAGGAAAACATTTTTATTCAAAAAATTGGCAACTTCGGTTATCTTCGACATTACGTTAGCAGATCGGATACTCCGGACAGCAAAGTGGCCAGTAGTAACGAGGGCTGTGCACGAAGACGCAACTTCTATAGGGTCTGACATTGCACCTAAAGGAATAAAATGAAATATTTTTTTTAAACCCGAACACGTATATATATTTTAATGAATATAAGGTTAGTCTTCAAACAAGCTGGTGGTAGTTGAACATTGTAAAAATAAACCGAGACTGCGAAAAAGAAAGCACACACAAACACAGTGGCCTCAGTGTTTGCCTTTCCTTTCTCTTTCACAGTGTTTGAGTGTTTTAGTATACATGTTAAGTTCGCCCACTTTCTAGAGTTCTATAATGTGTGCAACGATTGCAATGATTTCCCGGAATTTATCCCGATGTCTAAAATTCTAATCGATTAGTCTGCCTAAGCTAAGAAAAAGTGAAGTGCACATTTTGGTATTTAAATGTTGGACTTCTAAAACCCCCATAAAGAACAGGCGCCAAAAAAAAAAAAAAAATCAAGGACAAGAAAAGACGTAAACGCTGGTGCCAGTGTTTACGTCTCTTCTCCTCCTTGTGTTTTTTCGGCCCCTCTCCTTGATATTGAACCAACTGGTCCAAATTACCCTCTTCTATAACCCAATGTATTTAGAAACGGGCATGGATAAAATAACGTATGGCAAAAATAAGTGAGAATAAACACCCATACGAATTAAGCGTTCCTGTTAATAAATGCATAAACATCCTTATTATTTATTAATGTCCCTTTTGAATTTACTGTATACTTACATACATTTGAGTCCATGGTGTGGCTCTGCACCAAACTCAAGAGACTTGACAACAATTTAATTGTTTATATAAATACCCTATGTGCACATGTACAATTCCAACGATACATAAGTTAATTTTGCTTATCTTTAAGTTTTTATACAGAAATTTGATTCCACTTTTTTATGTTCGCCGAAATATTGTGTCTAATTTCAAGACCAACTGCAACATTTGTTTTCTGCCAAGCAGTTGATTATAAAATGAGTTTTTCAAATGGTAAAGTATTTAACTTATTTCTCCATCATCTTTAACTAACACCCGCATAGTGAAATACGGTTTATGAGATGTGAATTGATTAGGTACATAATGTATTCGTTAAAGTCTCTTTTAAAAACGAATAAATTCCCGTAGAACAGGAAATGTTTATTTCTTGAAAAAATAACACTTAAGACTGCTTACGTGAAGGAATGCGAACGCATTCATACACGCAGCGTATTCCTATAAACACAGCGCCGTGTCTTCCTATCGGACATGGCGCTCCGGCGGTGACATAACACTCCCCCATTGCGCATGCGCCGTGAAATCCGCCGGCTCCACGCCTTCCGTGACGGTGCATCTGCGTTGCTGTGCTTTTCTTTGTGTTTTCTTTTTTAGGCGCGTCCACTTTGACCTTGAGTGCCCCGCTGACTTCCGGGACGAAGCATCTGATATGACGCGTCACCGCCAATGGGAACGCGTCGCAGCCATTTTAACTGCCGTTTATTTAGATGCCTGTTTTTCGCGATCCCAGCCAACGTCAGCTGCGCTCCATGGGGCAGGTAATGCACTCGCATTAAAAAGTAAACAATGCGTAAACAACTATTTCCGTTATGAGAATTCAATTTAATTAAATTGTTTATACTTATTGCAACAAAAAACGTATTTTCTAGTGCTGGTACCAGCAAATCCGCGTTTTTTCTTGGTAACCTGAACGTGATTATAGAGAGGTCTTGCTGATGCAACAAAATACAAAAGGAAAAACAGGTTATAATTTTTTTCTAGCCATCGTCACCTATTTATTGATATTTACATTTTCGAAGCGAATAACGTATTACAACATCACTAGCCGTCAGTTTAATCAAGATATAAAAATTAGACATGAACACGCATTATAATAAGTTAACAGCTACGGTTTTGCCAGATGGCTTCCTGCAAACGGTGAGAATATAAATTACAAACCCTTTAACTGTAAGGTTTTTCGCTGTTACATCGCAAAGCCAGATTTCACAAGGGTACTTAAATCTTACAAGGCCTCCATCTTTGAGTGTTTGATTGCGGTACTTGCATGTACCTGCAGAATGAACGGTAAAAGAATGCGTTGAAACATTAATATACATCAATGTTCACATTATAACTACTTATATACCTCAGATTTGTTCACATATGTAAATTTAACTAGTTCATTTCAAGCTAAACAATCTCGGACAATCACAAAATTTTGTCTAAATATTCTTAACAAAAAAGAAAACTTCCATGGCGGCAACACTATGTTGTCAAATCCCTCGGACGTGAGTGGTGCAGAAAAGGTCGTGTGTGATGAGCCTCGTCGCGAGCGGAGGAGGAGCGAAAAGGACAACCGCTTATGGTGCTGCGTCACAAATGTTGTCCTCGGAACGTTCTCGCATTCTGCGAATTTATTAGAAGCACCCTTAACGGGACGGAAGGTGTTGAAAAATCCCAATTGGCTCGTTAAAAAGACGACGGTGCCAAGAAACAGCAATGCAATGCCGGGAATGCTTTGACGACGTGGCTTCGAAGGTTTTCGAAAAACGTAGAGAGGATACCTTTTGTACCGGAGAAAATGTTGGCGTCTCCAGAATAGTCAACCCAGTGAGGTAATGTTGCAGTAAAACAAGTAAACGTTGGTGTGTCTGTTTTCTGCCTATTTTGTTAGGGTAACATAATTTGGCGTATATAATGTTCTCTCGAAGCTGAGGCATAATACTTTGTTGCCGCTTTTATTTTGTGCATCACGGACACAGCGCCCGATATTTATTAACTGGATATGAGCTCTTTGGAATGTTGTGAAATCAGCGAACGCAATATGTTCGTGTAAATTTGAATATTATATCTCAGGTGTCTCTGCCAACAACTGGTGACGCTTTCTAAAGCTGACTTGCTCTTGCGTTTTCGTTCTATTCCATGCCCCTATAACCTCGTATCAGCGTTCCAGTGTCTGTAGGTAGCGCTGTATCCGCCTAATAGCATAGCACAAAATGGCTAGGTTGCGTAAGCTACCGCGCGATCCAAAGGGCTCAGCCGGATTCCTCCATCCACCCATCCATCCAGCATTTATGGATGGGCCGCCGCGCCAGTTTGATGGGCGTAGGGGCGAACCAGGGAAGTAGGAAACCGGGTCCAAAGTACCATACTTTAACACGTGGAAAAGGTTAGTTGATTTATTCCAAGTCTTGAGCCTCCCTTGAGGGCTGTTTCTAAAACCACCTCTTTGTTGACCCTCGTTACTGTTAACTTAACCGCAGTGCGTGGTGCGTCTGCAGCCTATTATTGTCGTTCCTCAGCCAATGAGATCGCGCGTTGAGGTCATAAGGATGCCAATAAATGAATCACACTCATAGAACTATGAACATAATGACCTTTCAGTGACTCTAGCGGTGGCATCTTCGATTCTGAAAAAACTCAGCGTCTTCACAAGAAGTCGTATGACGCTCTCCATCTCTCAGTATGGTACTGGGAGGAAGATCATATTTCTTTACTTTGGGTTGCTCCCATGCAGAGTGCGCGTGTCTTTCACAGGGCAAGTATCAATGGCAGAGCTAACCAATTTCGTTTGCGGCTTGGCTTTGGAAATAGGAAGCAAATAGGTGAACAGTGAAAAATTATCTGCACTATGTAGTTAAATTACCTGCTACTATTTTCAGATGAAATAAAAATATGGCAAAAAAAACACTAAGCTCTCAACCTTCGCTGTTAGAATTGATCAGCTGTGATTGAATAACGTGGTTTTTTTATTTAAGGTAGGTCATTTGGTTTTGGGTGTTTGTTTTTACCTCCGGCCTGATTGATTTTTTTTCTTGATATGTGGTCATGCATTGAAATCGGCTCCTGGAGAAGTGACAAGCGCACTCATGAAACACCCGGAGTTCGTAACTTTACATTTCACTTCCGGTCCTCACTCGCATTGATTTACGACTTCACTCAATAGAGAAACAAATATTTCGCATTTTTCTCAAAAGGTATCGTTTTTTTCCCCATTACAAGTGGTTTAAAGCTAACACAAGAAAACACAATATTTTTCAACGGATTGCATAACGTGGTAAATAACAGCACAATAAATCAAGAAAGAACGAATGTGACTTGGGCGAGTTCTATCTACAGGAAGGACCAAAAACCTTACAGAAGAAGTATACAAGTTTCGTTTTAGCTTTATTTTTGTTTTGGTTTAAATGAGGGAGTTAATTTATAAAAGAAAAAAAAACGATGAGTAGGCTAACTACAAAGGTTGCGTCGGTTTTTACCTGACTGCACCACCAGTGTTCTAAGCTCTAAATAATATTATGATTGCTACCCATCATAAAAGTCTCTACTTTTTTTAAAGCTTACGAGCGATTTTTATTTGTTGTTTTAATTTTTCTTATTTGGTTCAGAAATCTGGCTAATATTTTTCGTATTCCTACTACAGGTTTTCGTCCCATTCATTTCAGAAAAATGCATTTGGGTCCTGAAGGTAAATATGAAATTAAAAATTATATGAAATAAAAATTAAATCAGGAACTATAACAGTTTAAACTAACAATTCCACACATTAAATCGCCCGTAGAACATTGTGAATAGAGTGAAAAATGTGTACTACCGTTTTCAAATGAAACTCCATAAAGGTGGCGATGATTAGTGTCTCCCATGATCAGTGAAACACCTCCCAATGCGATCACGGCCAATAGAACACTTGTCGTCATTTCTGCTGCAAAAACAACTCTGCAAGTTTCTCGCAGTTAGTAATGTATCTAACTGAGAGTCAGTGTTGTATTTGATTTTAGTTCGTTAATTCTAGTTTTCGATCATGAAAGTGTTCGGGATTTCAGCCAAAACTAACACAATATTTGCTTACACAAGAACAATCCTTCAAAACCATTATCGCGTCGACATCTAGAAATGTTCTTTCTTTTCACAAACAGCATCCGATGGGAATACACTCCCTAGCCATATAGTTGATTGCAATAACGTTTCTTCATTCCTAGACCAACTCTCATCGTTTGTGTAACTTGCTAAATGTTCGGGGTGTCACACTCTTGTTGAAATTTCTGTTTCCCATTTTCTACACACAGCAATTTTTTCAAATGTAATAATCGCAACGTGCTATTGACAGATGTGTTTGCTTAGCATTTGTGTTCAAGACCTTGGCAAAATGTGACCACACTCTCGTTGAAATGCTTTTGTGTGCCAATTCTATTATATTCATTGAAAGGAATAATAGAAGTTTTAAAAAGAATAAGAAAGAAATATATATTGATCCAGCCGTCAAATATCAGATACAACTACATGCGCAGAAACGTGGACTTTACTTCGATTGAAGTATGTGGGTATAAAACTATGCCCTGATGGAAAAAGTCAAGCATCCATAAACCTTTATAATCGAATGCCATATAAGAACCCATAGAAAAAAACATAAAACTAAGTAATTTTATTCTCTAATTTTAAGACGTTAGAGACTATCTTCCTTAACATACACTACACGTATAATAAATATACAAAATACAGATGAAAAAGTCACAGAAAAATGGTATCTTCTGGACAATCGTTTCAGAAGAATATCGCTAACATTTTTATGCGCATATCTTTAAGATTCATATAACTCAGCACTCATTTAAAAGCTGCCACCCCAGTAACCATGGATGATTACTTCTTCTCGGTTACGCAAGCTGCACGTGGTCGTTTGATCATTGCAATACGCAGCGCAATTTGGTCTGCTTCCTTTGCAGGGATTGTGGTGACGTCAGAAAGCCGAGCTCTGATTGCTTCTGAATGCAGGATAGTGGGTAGACATGAAGGCAGCTTGCTTTGAGGTCTACCCACTATCCTTCTATCACAGCCAATCAGAGCGCGGCGTCTTTCTGACGTCACCAAGACACCTGCAAGATAAGCGAACTTGCGCTCCCCATTATCGTAGTACCTTCCGTTTCACATTAGGTCCGAGTGTAACCAGCACTAAAATCCGAAGTAGCCAATCAGACAGCGCAAAAAGTGCATCGTCATAGCGCTCGTCGCCTTTGTGCATGTGCTATCACTAATGAAACCAATCGCACACAAAAAGATACTACGAGATCACTGCGAATTCTCAGTGTGCGATTGGTTTCGCCGGTTGAAGCAAGCGCATCAAGACGACAAGCTTCTTAACAATGCACTTTTATCATTATGGCTAAATTTGAAACAAGGTGCACTAACATAAAGAAACGCTCATGCATGCGGAGCCACACTGCAGCTGACAGGTGGCGATCTAACATTCTTATCTGCTGTGCTCGATTGATTTTAACCAAAAATAGAACTTGAGATTCTCGTGGTTCGAAAGATTTAGAGGTAAAGATATCTCAGTAACTTCTAGTTAAGAAAAGTTTTACCGGATTAGATCTTCCCTTGAACCAGCAGGGTGTTGTTGTGGGAACGCCGTGGAACGTTACGACTATTTATGTAGAAGTGTTGTGAGAGCTTATAATATTCGTCAAACAGGAAGAACAAACAACAGTTATAAAAAAGATGTTGCGCGAAAACAATGACCTTTAATTTGTCAACAAAATATAAGGAGCAATCATACTTGTTTTTGAGTCCAAAAAAGCAGCTGCTTCTTTGACTCTGCTTTGCGTGAATTAAAACATTCCTTATACGCTTAAGTTCGCGGCTTGAGCAGACTTCAGTCCTCGCCAATTGTGGTGACCTTTGCAGTGCGTTTGATGCATGCCCTTTCGAGATCGCTATTCCTTGAGTCGATGAAATGCTTTGAACTTTTCCATCTTTTGTCTTTCACAAACAGTTGTCGTTACTTCCTTCATTTCGTCCCTGTCCTTCGGCGCTTCTCTGCAGTCAAGAGCTTGAAGCCTGCGGACCTGCGCTCGTTACTTAAAAAGTATTATAGTTTTCAATTACTAGATGAGCAAATTATCGCGACCAATTACGTCTAAAATAATCTCTTGCTTTACTTGCTACGGTAGAAATTGCTTGCCCATTCTTTTGCCCGAATAATTCTCAACCCAAACTTAAGGTGCTATCTTAATATTTCATTTGAAAGTATGGCAATCGTGTTTCCGATATCCCATCATTACGTTTCTTGTAGTATCTGTATAACAAATTGATATACTCGAATAAAAATAATGTGCTATGCTTCTTATCAGTTGTGTTTAGTGTTCGGAAAAACAGACGCCAGGGGGCACAAGTTTGCAGAAATTCGACAGCAGTCCGGGTAGCACAGTTCTTTTTGCCCAAATACGTATTTGTTTGGGAATTTAGGGTCTTAATAAGCCTGAAAAAAGCCCAAGTAGAACCAAACTTGACCATTTTTGGCCGGAGTCTGGGTATCTTGGCCCTAAATCGTCAAGCAAATATCAAGTTTAATTTTCACTGCCTGGTAGTTCCCGGCAGCCGTATGCCTAATCGACAAACAAGTGCCAAAGCTAGGCTTCAGTACCAGTCGTTTATTTTCTATGTGGAAACTTTGGGACAAGATTGCCAGAAAAGCGCTAGAATTAGGCTGCAGTGCTGGTTGCTCGATGTATGTGTGGCATTGTTTCCTGAAGTTTGGCACTTTGGCGATTATATGGCAGGCCAAAGGAAAGCCATTAAAAAGCAGACGAACAGAATTTTCGAACTAACGCCTTGGAGCAAAATCAAATTAGGCCCTAACAATTGGCAAACATGGGTCAAACTAAGCGTTTATCTGGGCATACTATTAGAACAACTGCACTTCAAAGCTTTTATTTTTTTTTCAAAATGCCTACGCTTGTGTTTATGCCACTCTCTAAATTTTAGTCATTTTTCAGACTGAGTATTGACAAATGATAAATCCATATCTGGCACGTAAAGGTTTCACAAACATGTCAGAAACGCGACAAAGTAAAACGAAACGAAAGGGTATGTCATTAAACATGCGACACACGCGACAACGCAATGTCTTAAGCTTCCGGGCAACGGAGATACAAGTAGAGCCCACCATCGGCCATTGTGCAAGCTTAGTTCTTTATACGCCGGTCGAGTCCTACACACTTACCGATGCAGAAAGAGGTGCGAGCCTATGAATTATTAAAGAGTTAAGATTAGGTTACTCGAGGGATCACGGAATTATATAATTATTACAATCTTGCGCGGGTAGTTCTTGTTTAGTTGTTGGTTAGCCACCTTTGGTCACACTATTTAAGGTGTTTGCCCCACTTCCGGTCGCCAAGACCAGGGGAGGGGGATACTTTCGGTTTTCCCATGTTTACCTTGTGTTTGGGTGGATGCGCGGCGACTCTTGGTTCACTAGCGAGAAACTGCGCGAAACTTTAGAAATGCCCCAGTCCCGTGCTTTTAACTTGACGATGCTCACCAGCACGAACAAAATTTCGCAAATGAAGTTCTTTCAATTCTCTCGCGACGAGGGACGCCACTGACGCCGCCGAGCTTCGGTGATCGCTGCTAAGCAAACGGTGCTTGCCTACTTCGATGTGCTGCCGACAGATGGCGCAACGCGACAAACGCGTAGATATCTGACACTAGCGAAGATGCCGCGCAAGCGTCGCCTTGACCGACTAAAAAAAAAATAAGAGAAGCCAATCGGGTCTTTAAGGCAAGTGTAAATGCAAGGTGACATGGTGCTCTGGGGAAAAAAATTCCTTACAATCCAAAGAAAGGTGGTCAAAACATTAAAAAATTGGGTGTTACAGATACTTGCGTAGCGCTGAAGGAAGAGTAATATAACTCTCGGAAGATTGTGTGCTAAAACCATCACCCAGCTCAGCGACCCCATGCGAGGAAGCTCGACGCGTAACTTCGGCACCTGGGGCAGGTAGGGGCCCCTCGCCGATGCCTTGCCGTTCACGAAGTAGTTGACACTCGGGTATATGGACCTGGTGGCTTTGATAGGTAGTCGTGACGATGCGCCCATGACTGCTTCGGTGGACTTGTGGGGGAACTGCTCTTTCTTTTCACCCAATGGATCTAGAAGGCATATCGGTCCAGGAGAAGTCAATTCCGTGTGGTACCGCAGTCAGTTATCGGCGGTGAATCTTTTTAAGTAATCTATCACTGCGGGTCCTAAAAAACAGAAAAAAGAGTGCCCAACCGGAAGCAGCATGCGCACCTCGGAATTGCGGCAATGTTTGTTTTGGTTTTGCCTCCGCACATTCTGCAAATACGAAAACGAAAGTAAAATTAAATAGTCACCTACAGCTTAAGGAAGAAAGGGTGTGTCCTATTACGTGCATATGTTTGCTACCTGATTAGTTGTACGGCTGTGTTATCAGCTAATGCCAAAATTTCATTGGCTGCGGAGACATAATGAGATGCTTGGGACTTTCCATGCCCGAACAGAAATGAAAATTGTAAATGGTACTCCCAATAAAATTACTTGAAGTAGTGAATTATTACAACTAATTCATTACTTCTAGCAAATCACCACCGAAAACAGCTTGCAGGGTAGTGCAAGAATATATAGTATAATCAAATTTTCTATTTGAAATGTTGAATAAATGTTAAGAGCCCTACCGAACACTCTTAATGAAAGGCATTTCTCAAGTGAAGAAACTGTACACAATATAATATATAATGGTAACTTGCTTGAAATTTAGATTCACAGGGATTTATGGAGCCCCAAAAAATACAAACTGCACATTAAAGCTGGTTATTTTCTTCTTTTGCAGATATAAAACCAAGTTTGTATATATATATATAGATATATATATATACCGGAGGATAGGAGGCGGTCTAAGAA